ACTCAACTAATCTCTTTAACATCACCAGGTTTACTCGCTTTACAAACTCAACTAATCGCTTTAAAATCACCAGGTTTACTCACTTTACAAACTCAATTAATCGCTTTAAAAGCACCAGGTTTACTCGCTTTACTAACTCAATTAATCGATTTAAAATCGCCAGGTTTACTCACTATTCAAACTCAACTAATCGCTTTAAAATCGGCAGGTTTACTTGCTTTTCAAACTCAACTAATCGCTTTAAAATCGCCAGGTTTACTCGCTTTACAAACTCAACTAATCGATTTAAAAGCGCCAGGTTTACTCGCTTTACAAACTCAACTAATCTCTTTAAAATCACCAGGTTTACTCGCTTTACAAACTCAACTAATCGCTTTAAAATCGCCAGGTTTACTCGCTTTACAAACTCAACTAATCGCTTTAAAATCGCCAGGTTTACTCGCTTTACAAACTCAACTAATCGCTTTAAAATCGCCAGGTTTACTCGCTTTACAAACTCAACTAATCGCTTTAAAATCGCCAGGTTTACTCGCTTTACAAACTCAACTAATCGCTTTAAAATCGCCAGGTTTACTCGCTTTACAAACTCAACTAATCGCTTTAAAATCGCCAGGTTTACTCGCTTTACAAACTCAACTAATCGCTTTAAAATCGCCAGGTTTACTCGCTTTACAAACTCAACTAATCGCTTTAAAATCGCCAGGTTTACTCGCTTTACAAACTCAACTAATCGCTTTAAAATCGCCAGGTTTACTCGCTTTACAAACTCAACTAATCGCTTTAAAATCGCCAGGTTTACTCGCTTTACAAACTCAACTAATCGCTTTAAAATCGCCAGGTTTACTCGCTTTACAAACTCAACTAATCGCTTTAAAATCGCCAGGTTTACTCGCTTTACAAACTCAACTAATCGCTTTAAAATCACCAGGTTTACTCGCTTTACAAACTCAACTAATCGCTTTAAAATCGCCAGGTTTACTCGCTTTTCAAACTCAACTAATCGCTTTAAAATCGCCAGGTTTACTCGCTTTACAAACTCAACTAATCGCTTTAAAATCACCAGGTTTACTCGCTTTTCAAACTCAACTAATCGCTTTAAAAACGCCAGGTTTACTCGCTTTACAAACTCAACTAATGGCTTTAAAATCGCCAGGTTTACTCGCTTTACAAACTCAACTAATGGCTTTAAAATCGCCAGGTTTACTCGCTTTTCAAACTCAACTAATCGCTTTAAAATCACCAGGTTTACTCGCTTTACAAACTCAACTAATGGCTTTAAAATCGCCAGGTTTACTCGCTTTTCAAACTCAACTAATCTCTTTAAAATCGCCAGGTTTACTTGCTTTACAAACTCAACTAATCGCTTTAAAATCGCCAGGTTTACTCGCTTTACAAACTCAACTAATGGCTTTAAAATCGCCAGGTTTACTCGCTTTACAAACTCAACTAATCGATTTAAAAGCGCCAGGTTTACTCGCTTTTCAAACTCAATTAATCGATTTAAAATCGCCAGGTTTACTCGCTTTACAAACTCAACTAATCGCTTTAAAATCGCCAGGTTTACTCGCTTTACAAACTCAACTAATCTCTTTAAAATCGCCAGGTTTACTCGCTTTACAAACTCAACTAATCGATTTAAAAGCGCCAGGTTTACTCGCTTTACAAACTCAACTAATCGCTTTAAAATCGCCAGGTTTACTCGCTTTACAAACTCAACTAATCCCTTTAAAATCGGCAGGTTTACTCGCTTTACAAACTCAACTAATCTCTTTAAAATCTCCAGGTTTACTTGCTTTACAAACTCAACTAATCTCTTTAAAATCGCCAGGTTTACTCGCTTTACAAACTCAACTAATCGCTTTAAAAACGCCAGGTTTACTCGCTTTACAAACTCAACTAATCTCTTTAAAATCGCCAGGTTTACTCGCTTTACAAACTCAACTAATCGCTTTAAAAACGCAAGGTTTACTCGCTTTACAAACTCAACTAATCTCTTTAAAATCGCCAGGTTTACTCGCTTTACAAACTCAACTAATCTCTTTAAAATCGCCAGGTTTACTCGCTTTACAAACTCAACTAATCTCTTTAAAATCGCCAGGTTTACTCGCTTTACAAACTCAACTAATCGCTTTAAAATCGCCAGGTTTACTCACTTTTCAAACTCAACTAATCGCTTTAAAATCGCCAGGTTTACTCGCTTTACAAACTCAACTAATCGCTTTAAAATCGCCAGGTTTACTCGCTTTACAAACTCAACTAATCGCTTTAAAATCGCCAGGTTTACTCGCTTTTCAAACTCAACTAATCGCTTTAAAATCGCCAGGTTTACTCGCTTTACAAACTCAACTAATCGCTTTAAAATCACCAGGTTTACTCGCTTTACAAACTCAACTAATCGCTTTAAAATCGCCAGGTTTACTCGCTTTACAAACTCAACTAATCGCTTTAAAATCGCCAGGTTTACTCGCTTTACAAACTCAACTAATCCCTTTAAAATCGGCAGGTTTACTCGCTTTACAAACTCAACTAATCTCTTTAAAATCTCCAGGTTTACTTGCTTTACAAACTCAACTAATCTCTTTAAAATCGCCAGGTTTACTCGCTTTACAAACTCAACTAATCGCTTTAAAATCACCAGGTTTACTCGCTTTACAAACTCAACTAATCGCTTTAAAAACGCCAGGTTTACTCGCTTTACAAACTCAACTAATCGCTTTAAAATCACCAGGTTTACTCGCTTTACAAACTCAACTAATCCCTTTAAAATCGCCAGGTTTACTCGCTTTACAAACTCAACTAATCGCTTTAAAAACACCAGGTTTACTCGCTTTACAAACTCAACTAATCGCTTTAAAAACGCCAGGTTTACTCGCTTTACAAACTCAACTAATCTCTTTAAAATCTCCAGGTTTACTCGCTTTACAAACTCAACTAATCGCTTTAAAAACGCAAGGTTTACTCGCTTTACAAACTCAACTAATCTCTTTAAAATCGCCAGGTTTACTCGCTTTACAAACTCAACTAATCTCTTTAAAATCGCCAGGTTTACTCGCTTTACAAACTCAACTAATCTCTTTAAAATCGCCAGGTTTACTCGCTTTACAAACTCAACTAATCGCTTTAAAATCGCCAGGTTTACTCGCTTTACAAACTCAACTAATCGCTTTAAAATCGCCAGGTTTACTCGCTTTACAAACTCAACTAATCGCTTTAAAATCACCAGGTTTACTCACTTTACAAACTCAATTAATCGCTTTAAAAGCACCAGGTTTACTCGCTTTACTAACTCAACTAATCGCTTTAAAATCGCCAGGTTTACTCACTATTCAAACTCAACTAATCGCTTTAAAATCGGCAGGTTTACTCGCTTTACAAACTCAACTAATCGCTTTAAAATCGCCAGGTTTACTCGCTTTACAAACTCAACTAATCGATTTAAAAGCGCCAGGTTTACTCGCTTTACAAACTCAACTAATCGCTTTAAAATCGCCAGGTTTACTCGCTTTACAAACTCAACTAATCGATTTAAAATCGCCAGGTTTACTCGCTTTACAAACTCAACTAATCGCTTTAAAATCGCCAGGTTTACTCGCTTTACAAACTCAACTAATCGCTTTAAAATCGCCAGGTTTACTCGCTTTACAAACTCAACTAATCGATTTAAAAGCGCCAGGTTTACTCGCTTTTCAAACTCAATTAATCGATTTAAAATCGCCAGGTTTACTCGCTTTACAAACTCAACTAATCGCTTTAAAATCGCCAGGTTTACTCGCTTTACAAACTCAACTAATCGCTTTAAAATCGCCAGGTTTACTCGCTTTACAAACTCAACTAATCGATTTAAAAGCGCCAGGTTTACTCGCTTTACAAACTCAACTAATCGATTTAAAATCGCCAGGTTTACTCGCTTTACAAACTCAACTAATCGATTTAAAAGCGCCAGGTTTACTCGCTTTTCAAACTCAATTAATCGATTTAAAATCGCCAGGTTTACTCGCTTTACAAACTCAACTAATCGCTTTAAAATCGCCAGGTTTACTCGCTTTACAAACTCAACTAATCGATTTAAAATCGCCAGGTTTACTCGCTTTACAAACTCAACTAATCGATTTAAAAGCGCCAGGTTTACTCGCTTTACAAACTCAACTAATCGCTTTAAAATCGCCAGGTTTACTCGCTTTACAAACTCAACTAATCGCTTTAAAATCGCTAGGTTTACTCGCTTTACAAACTCAACTAATCGCTTTAAAAACGCCAGGTTTACTCGCTTTACAAACTCAACTAATCTCTTTAAAATCTCCAGGTTTACTCGCTTTACAAACTCAACTAATCGCTTTAAAAACGCAAGGTTTACTCGCTTTACAAACTCAACTAATCTCTTTAAAATCGCCAGGTTTACTCGCTTTACAAACTCAACTAATCTCTTTAAAATCGCCAGGTTTACTCGCTTTACAAACTCAACTAATCGCTTTAAAATCGCCAGGTTTACTCGCTTTTCAAACTCAACTAATCGCTTTAAAATCGCCAGGTTTACTCGCTTTACAAACTCAACTAATCGCTTTAAAATCGCCAGGTTTACTCGCTTTACAAACTCAACTAATCGCTTTAAAATCGCCAGGTTTACTCGCTTTACAAACTCAACTAATCGCTTTAAAATCGCCAGGTTTACTCGCTTTTCAAACTCAACTAATCGCTTTAAAATCGCCAGGTTTACTCGCTTTTCAAACTCAACTAATCTCTTTAAAATCGCCAGGTTTACTTGCTTTACAAACTCAACTAATCGCTTTAAAATCGCCAGGTTTACTCGCTTTACAAACTCAACTAATGGCTTTAAAATCGCCAGGTTTACTCGCTTTACAAACTCAACTAATCGCTTTAAAATCGCCAGGTTTACTCGCTTTACAAACTCAACTAATCGCTTTAAAATCACCAGGTTTACTCGCTTTTCAAACTCAACTAATCGCTTTAAAAACGCCAGGTTTATTCACTTTTCAAACTCAACTAATCGCTATAAAAAAGCAAGGTTTACTCGCTTGCTTAAGTTAATTCAACTAATTGCATTTAACAAAGTGAGTTAATCTGTTTCTTTAAAATCGTTGAGTTGACTCTACTTCAAAAAGTAAGTAACCCTATTGCTTTAGAAGTGATTAGTGGACTTTTAAAAACTGAATAAAGCTGTTGCCTTTAAATTATTAAGTAAAGAAAATATGTGCATAATTACAAAAATTAAGTACTTAACACTTAATAGTTCCGAGTTACAAAGGGTTTACTCACTTTTTAAACTATCACGTTTTACAGTGTACAGCAAACAGTGTACAGTAAAGTCCCTCGTAGCTTCATATGTTCAGCATCATTATTATCATTACTGAAAAGAGTTTCATATTTTTAAGAAAATGTATCTATATTTTAACAGTAATTTCTATTAAATATGTTGTCCTTCTCAACTGCAGGCACTCTAAATAAACATATTAATTTCTTCCACATGAAGCAGTAAACCTGTTAATGGCCGTATGAGCAGAAGAGAATCAGGTCAGACTGTTCAGATGGATTTGATCCATATATATTGTTTGTGCTTAATCAAAAGCTGATGACATGAATGAAAGGCATATTGGTTTGATTTTAGAAAAGGAACATTTTATTTTGTCCTCTTACGTTCAGCTTCAGATGTTCTCTAGTCTGCCAAACACATCAGAGCCTGAATGACAAACAGACGCCGGTGTCACGCAGACGCATCTCTGCTCTTCCTCTTCCTCGTCTTCTTCTTCTTTAGTTTAGTGTTTGCCGAACAGACGGCATTATTTCTGCTTCACAGTCCAGCAGCAGATTCTTCAGCTGCTCAGCAGATAAACAGACCGTCTGGAAGAGGAAAACACCATTTCAACAACACATTTTTCACTATAATCATTCTTTAAAAATGTCTTTTCCATGATGACAGCACATAATGTTTGACTAGATATTTTGTAAGATACTAGTAATCAGCCTAAAGTGTCATTTAAAGACTGAACTAGGTTAATTTTATGGTCAATATTATTAGCCCCCTTAAGAATTTCTTTTTTCTCTATTGCCTACAGAACAATCCACTGTTGTCCAATGACTTGCTTAATTAACCTATTAATCTAAGTTATGTGATTGTCATATGTCATATGTGATTTAGCTATAATAATCAAATGTTCCTGTACATATTATTTGCAGCGCGTGAGCATGAATAATGTTAAAGGTAGATTTTTCAGCTGATTTGGTCTTCTTGCTGGAGTGTGTCCACGTGAGCGGTGTTTACAACATTCTCAGACGTGTGTGAAATACTGGAGAGCAATGTGAAAAGATTCATTCAGGAATCACCAGCAGATGATTCATCACTCAGTTGATTCATTCTCATCATTATAATAAGCAGACTTACATCATCCAGAGCTGAAGCTCAGTTCATACAACAGACAGAGAAACCATCTGAATCTTCTCACGCTTGAAGAGATCAACATTAATTGTCATCATTATCTCACCATTGTGGCACTGCAAACCTTGAAGACTTTCTCTGTGTGTTTAGTTTATATAATAATGATCAATGGGGTGCAATGTTATTTTACTGCAGTTTACAATGTACATGCTTTAACCATCCTGTTGTCTTATAATAATTTCTGTATACATCATTCACACTTCGGGCCAAAAATAAGCCGCATTCACTAAACCTCAAATCACTCAATCCTCAAATACTTTTTGCATGAAGATATAAGCTCATCTTCCTCACAAATTCTGCGAATGAGCAGACAAAATGAGGGTTAAATCGTAATCAGCCTATTGTATTCCTTTAGATTACTCTGGTTTAGTAGTTTAATCTAACTCCTTTATAATACTTTGAAACAGCACTGAATCCCATTCGTTTGTGTTCTTAGCGTAAATATTTTAAAGCTTTGAAAACGAAGACAGAAGAAAAATTTCTAGGTCAACTTTCATTTAGATGGAGTAGAATGAAGGTTTGACAGTGTACCACACAGTAGGAAGGACAGTTATTAATGTCTGATCTCTTTCTGAGAGAGGTTTGTCTCAGCCGTTTAAAAGCTCAACACATCAGAATGCAGTGAAGTACTGCGGTTCTTCTGTTCATTAATCAGTCGTTTACATCAAACAGACTCCGGGAAGCTTTTAACATCTCAGAGCTCCTCAAAACTGTTGACAGAAACTCTGAGACTCAGACTAAACACGGAGAGAGCAGAGAAACATCTAACAGAAGCAGCGAGAGACAGAAAAGCAATAATGAAAGAAGTCACTCGGTGCATTTCAGTCTGCAAACCTCCAAATGTCAAGGTTTTTTAAATTCAGCCATCAGTTCAACGTGATCAATGACTGTAGAAATCAGTCAGTTCAGTTCAAGACTTTCAGTTCATCACATTATACGTACATTCGCAACTGATCCAGGTATGTCTGATTGAGTCTGAATAAGTGTGAATAAGTCTATAAGTAAAACTGAGCCTAAATAAGTCTGATATGAGTCTGAGTCAGAATGAGTCTGAATGATTAAGTCAGCGTCTGGATACGTCTGAGTTTGAATAAGTTTTAATCTGGATAAATCTGAGTGAGTCTGAGTTTGGATAAGTCTGAATATGTCTGAATGAGCAAGTATGGAGAGGTCTGAGTCTGAATAAGCCTGCGTCTAAGTTAGTCTGAAATGAGTCAGAGTCTGGATATGTATGAGTGAGTCTGAGTCTGGACAAATGATGAAGTCTGAGTGTAAGTAAGTGTAATAAAATCAGATTGAATCTGAATTATGAATGAGTCTCGATGGGTCTGAATGAGTCTGAGTAATTTTGAGTCTGAATAATTTAAGTGAGTCAAAGTCTGATTGAGTGAGTTTGTGACTGGATAAGTCTGAGTCTGAATAAGTCTGAGTCTGAATGAGTGAGTCTGTGACTGGATAAGTCTGAGTCTGAATAAGTCTGAGTCTGAATGAGTGAGTCTGTGACTGAATAAGTCTGAGTCTGAATAAGTCTGAGTCTGAATGAGTGAGTCTGTGACTGAATAAGTCTGAGTCTGAATAAGTCTGAGTCTGAATGAGTGAGTCTGTGACTGGATAAGTCTGAGTCTGAATAAGTCTGAGTCTAAATGAGTGAGTCTGTGACTGGATAAGTCTGAGTCTGAATAAATCTGAATCTGAGAGAGTCTGATTGAGTGATTCTGGGTCTGAATAAGTCTGAATAAGTCTGGGTGAGTCTGAATGGGTCAGTCTGGGTAAGTCTGAGTCTGAATAAGTCTGAGTGAGTCTGAATAAGTGTGTCTGGATAGGTCTGAGTCTGAATAAGCCTGAGTCTGAGTGCGTCTAGATGAGTGAGTCTGAATGAGTAAGTCTGAGTCTGGATAAGTCTGAGTCTGGATATGTCTGAGTCTGGATATGTCTGAGTTTGAATAAGTCTGAGTGAGTCTGAATGAGTGAGCCTGAGTCTGAATAAATCTGAGTCTGAGTGAGTCTGAATTGGTCAGTCTGGATAAGTTTGAGTGAGTCTAAATAAGTGTTTTTGGATAGGTCTGAGTCTGAATAAGCCTAAGTCTGAGTGCGTCTAGATGAGCGAGTCTGAATGGATAAGTCTGAGTCTGGATAAGTCTGAGTCTGGATATGTCTGAGTCTGAATAAGTCTGAGTGAGTCTGAATGAGCAAGTCTAAGTCTGCATATGTTTGAATTTGAATAAGTCTGAGTGAGTCTGGATATATTCATTCATTCATTTTCTTGTCGGCTTAGTCCCTTTATTAATCCGGGGTCGTCACAGCGGAATGAACCCCCAACTTATCCAGCACATTTTTACGCAGCGGATGCCCTTCCAGCCGCAACCCATCTCTGGAAAAAGTCTGAATATATCTGAGTCTGAATAAGTCTGAGTGAGTCTGAGTCTGGATAAATCTGAGTCTGGATGTGTCTGAGTCTGAATAAGTCTGAGTGTGTCTGAATGAGTGAGTCTGAATAAGTCTGAATCTGAGTAAGTCTGAGTGAGTCTGATTGATTGTGAATGAGTGTATGAACTTACGCTGCTCTCCTGAGTCTCTTCCAGGATCTGCAGCTGCTCCTGTATTTCTCTCAGACGTCTCTCCTCATCTTGTCGCTGTCTCATAGTCCAGAGCCCTTGATCTCCTGTCCTCTCCTCCAGACTCCCCTAAAACACAGCCAAGGGGTTTCATTTGTGAATCAACAGACAATACATGTGTAGAAACAGAAGAGATAACGTTTAGGGCTGTTTTGAAGTGGAGTCACATGTTGCAAAAGGTTAAGAGAAGTGGAGAGATTTTGAAATCTGAAAGCACATAAATATGAAGACAGACTGAAACGGACCCTCTAGGGGAGATAAATCAAAGTTATGTGCAAACACAAATGCAAAGCCAAGTCAAATGCTGAAAACAAATGATGAGAAATGAGGAGCAGCAGAAACTGGTGAACTTTCTTAAGTTTTCACGCATCTCAAACAGTTGAGCATTAATGATTGAGAACTGAACACTGAGACGTTTGTGCTCTCTGTAATACTGTGAAAAGCAATGAAATCAGCACATATACTGAACTCTCCCCGCTGAATTCACAGAGACTGCAGATCTACACATCTCACATTGTTCTCACACATTTCCATCAAGCTAAATATATCTTTACTGACCCTCACAACCACTAAACACAGGTGTGTAGCTCAAATGAATGGGTTTTCCAGTGTTCTCTCCTCACGTTTCCACCACTGACCATCAGAAACAAACAACCACAGTGCATGGCTTTATTGTAAAGTTATACATTCCAGACGGTGTGCATCATATAGCAGACACATAAAGGAGACCTATTCTGGCCCTTTTTCCAAGATGTAAAATATGTCTCTGCTGTGTCTAGAGTGTGTGTGAGTTTGAGCTGAGAATGTCACACAGATGATGTTCTCCAGCTCTCTGAAACTGCCCCTGTCAGGCTTTGATCCTGATTGTGGTGTTTTGGTGACTGTCACTTTAAATGCAAATGAGATTGTGCTCTTTTCAGAAGAGGGCGGAGTTACAGATGGTTGTGCGTCCCCATAGCGTCAGATGTAAAACAGCAGTGTGTGTGTTGTGAGTGCTGGTCAGGTGTGCATGTGTGCTTCAGTGTGAGCGTATGCTTGATGCTTCTGTCAGTCTATTTGTGCTTTGGTTCAAAAATTTGCCGCCTTCACCAAACATCTACAAAAAAGTAGATCAATTAAATTTTAATCCACTTATCTACACTCACCGACCACTTTATCAGCCAATCACATGGCAGCAGCTCACTGCATTTAGGCATGTAGACATGGTCAAGACGATCTGCTGCAGTTCAGAGTGAGCATCAGAATGGGGAAGAAAGGGGATTTAAGAGACTTTGAACGTGGCATGGTTGTTGCTGCCAGACGGGCTGCTCTGAGTATTTCAGAAACTGCTGATCTACTGGGATTTTCACGCACAACCATCTCTAGGGTTTACAGAGAATGCTCCAACACAGAGGAAATATCCAGTGAGCGGCAGTTCTGTGGGCGCAAATGCCTTGTTGATGAGGCCAGAGGTCAGAGGAGAATGGCCAGACTGGTTCCAGCTGATAGAAAGGCAACAGTAACTCAAATAAGCACTCGTTACAACCGAGCTCTGCAGAAGAGCATCTCTGAACACACAACACGTCCAACCTTGAGGCGGATGGGCTACAGCAGCAGAAGAGCACACCGGGTGCCGCTCCTGTCAGCTAAGAACAGGAAACTGAGGCTACAATTCACACAGACTCACCAAAACTGGACAATAGAAGATTGGAGAAACGTTGCTGCTCTGATGAGTCTCCATTTCTGCTGACACATTCAGATGCTCGGCTCACAATTTGGCCTCAACAACATGAAAGCATGGATCATCCTGCCTTGTATCAGCGGTTCAGGCTGGTGGTGGTGGTGTAATGGTGTGGGGGAGATTTTCTTTGGGTCCATTAGTACCAATTGAGCATCAACGCCACAGCCTACCTGAGTATTGCTGCTGACCATGTCCATCCCTTTATGAGCACAGTGTCTCCATCTTCTGATGGCTACTTCCAGCAGGATAACGCAGCATGTCATAAAGCTCAATCATCTCAGACTGCTTTCTTGAACATGACGATGAGTTCACTGCACTCAAATGGCCTCCACAGCCACCAGAGCTCAATCCAATAGAGCAGCTTTGGGATGTGGTGGAACGGGAGATTGGCATCATGGATGTGCAGCCGACAAATCTGCAGCAACTGTGTGATGCTATCATGTCAATATGGAGCAAAACCTCTGAGGAATATTTCCAGTAGCTTGCTGAATCTCTGCCACCAAGGATTAAGGCAGTTCTGGAGGCAAAAGGGGTCCAACCCGGTACTAGAGAGGTGTACCTAATAAAGTGGCCGGTGAGTGTAGTTTGCAAGGAACAAGCTGACCTTCATCACACACACACTCAGTGAATGTTTGGGTTTTCCCTCATCAGTGTGCAGTATCTCAGCAGTGTTCACTCTCACTACAGTAGAGTGTGTTTATCATGATAAAAGGACCTGCAGAGGTGTTTAGGGGTTTTCTACAGTTAAAATAGTGAGGAGGGTTAAATACTAACATCTCATATTAAACACCTAATGGAGGAAACACACACTCCTGAATATGATTGTCTATATGTATGTGTTTAGGTATAAACAGTGTTGTTCAGCCTGAAAGTCCAGATGTGTAGCTGCAGCTGCTGTGTGTCTGCTCACGGTGAAACACTGATCTGGAAACTGGCGTCTGGCTTATGAAAACAGAGCCGGAGTGAGTCAGAGAGAGACTGAAGCAGCTCTGGACGATTGCTCACTCAGTGCCACGTGGAAGCAGGAGCAGAGCCAGAGGTTCCCTGAGCAGAACCACAACTACTGCAGCGGAAACACACACACAGGCACGCACACACACACACACACACACACACACACAACAGACCTGAATTAACACACACAAACACATATTTAAAAACACACACACACACACACACACACACACACCATATTACACCTGGACTAAACCACAGACCTGGACTAACACACACACACGCACACCTGATTACACCTGGACACACACACACAAATAAAAATAAAACTGGGACACACACACACACAAACGCACACACACACACACACATTCCTGCAGCATTACAGCAGACGCTGCAGAACAGAAGTTCATGAATCAAAGTTACAGCTCCACTTTAATGTCCAATTCCAGAGAGTCATCCCAGCGTAAATGATTCAGTGTTCAGTGAATCAAGTGGCGTCAGGTTCAGGAATAAGTCCAGTGAACCGAACCGAATTGAACACAACAACATCCTGGAAGACAACATGGCAGAACACACCGATCCATCATCCCTGACCTATATCTCATATCCCTGACGATAACACAACCTATGATGTAAGCATATTTTCAATGACACTTTATAATAACTGCACACTATTAATCATTTATCAAGCATTAGCAAATAATACATGCATAAACCTAAAGTGAGGACTATATCTGCTTTGCAAACCTCTTATAAATGACATCAACTTTTTAGTTAAATATTTAATGCTTGATAAAATTGTTTAATATATATATATATATATACAGTTAAAGTCAGAATTATTCGCCCCCTTCGAATTATTTTCTTCTTTTTAAAATATTTTTCAAATGATGTTTAACAGAGCAAGGAAATTTTTATAGTATGTCTGATAATATTTGTTCTTCTGGAGAAAATATGATTTGTTTTATTTCAGCAAGAATAAAAGCAGTTATTAGTTTTTAAACACCATTTTAAGGTCAATATTTTTAGCCCCTTTAAGCTATTTTTTTTCTCGATAGTCTACAGAACAAACCATCATTATACAATACCTTGCCTAATTACCCTTACCTGCGTAGCTACCCTAATTACCCTAGTGAAGCCTTTAAATGTCACTTTAAGCTGTATAGAAGTGTCTTGAAGAATATCTAGTCTAATATTATTCACTGTCATCATAACAGAGAAAATAAATCAGTTATTAGAGATGAGTTATTAACACTATTATGTTATAAATGTGTTGAAAACATCTTCTCTCCGGTAAACAGAAATTAGGGAAAAAATAAACGAGCAGTCTAATAATTTAGGGCGGCTAATAATTGTGACTTCAACAATAAAAATAATAATAGATATAAAATAAATAAATGACATATGCTAATGCACAATAAAATGTGTTTTATAAAATAATGATAACATTTTAAAATACAATTTTTTTATTGTAAAGCTATCCAGATTATGATTTCATTCACAGTTAGACTTTAGTGTCCTTTGCAAAATAAATGAATAAAAAATAAAAAATAAATGAATGAATGAATGAATGAACAATAAATAAATAAATAAAAAATGAATGAATGAATAAATAAATAAATAAATAAAATAATAAATGAATGAATAATAAATAATTAAACAAATAAATAAAATGAATGAATGAATAAATAAATAAACAACTAAATAAATAAATAAACAACAAATAAGAAAAAATAAATAAAGGAACAAATGAAAAAATAAACAAATAAATAAACAATGAATGAATGAATAAATAACTAAATTAATTAATTAATATATATAATAATATATATACATTAATAAAAAATGATGAATGAACAAATAAATAAACAATAAATTAATGAATACATAAACAAACAAATGAATGAATGAATGAATGAATGAATGAATCAAAGACCTACAAACCAGACAGAAAAGGCTCTAATATTCAATAATAATCTGCATTATTCAACAACTGATGCAGATTTTTAATTATTAGCTTCAAACACAGCTTCATTTACAAGCCTATTTTAAGCCTGATAACTTATGATCAAAGCAAAAACAAACATCTGCAAATAGAGGAGCTTTTCTTTTAGTTCTTTTTTATTAAACATTTATTTTAAACAGTGTGTTGCGTTTTTTAAACCCTTGTGAAAAATGTATTGTTATTTATTTTTATAGTATTATGCATTTATTAATTTATTATCATATTTTAAAGGTCTGCATTGCACTTTTTAAATTATTTTTTATTTATTTTACTTTTTTATTATTTGTAATATTATGTCATTTATTATTATTATTATTATTATTATGTATTTTTAAGGTCTGCATATTTATTATTTTTTTATAATTATGTATTATTTATTACTTATAA